TTGAATTTGTTGTTCATTTTTGTTGTTTTTGGGTTCTTTAGGAGCATATTCAACAAGGGAACATAATTCAGAGCTTTTCCCTTCACAAATCACACTATGTTTGGTTCAAGGAATTTGAAAGGGAATTGAATAGAAAATGAGAAGGAAAATATTTTTCTTATTTAGTTAGAGAGTAAAAAAAGGAATGTGGAAGGAAAAAAATGAGAAAACAAAATGTACTAAGAGAAATAAAAACCAAATTTCTTTCATTTTGGTGAGGAAAATGAGAAAAAATTAATTTTTTTTTCCTTCTAAATTCTTTGAACCAAACACGGGTTTTTCCCTCAAAAATGAGAAGGCCCATTTTTATACCATAAACCCATTTAGTCCAATATCTTCTGAGATCCCGGCCCCGGCGCCTTCAATTAAGTACTACTGCCTCTTCGTTCTTAATTCCTTCATCCTTTATTATGGCTTTTCCCCTGAACTCAAAGTCATCGCAATGGCTTCAAACTTTGGCTTTATAACCTTTGTCTTTGGTGAGTTTCTGATTTAGTTCATTCCTTGCTTCAGTTTTTTAAGTTTATTTGTTTCAAAATTTCCAATTTTTATTACTACCTCCATCCCACTCTTTTTGTCCAGTTTTGATTTTTGGAACTGTTCATCTAAGTACTTTGACTCATCAAATTCTCTCAATGTGTAAGTCTAAAAATAGTCATGTGTGATCTTGTTTGATTTGTCTTAACATATAGATTATTAATATATAATTTTTATAATTTTTTAATATACAAATTACAAGATAAAATGGATTAAAGAAGTGCATTGGATGGTGTGCAAAAATGAGAGTGGACAAAAAGAGTGGGACGGAGGGAGTATGTTTTAAATAATTGGCCTACATTTCAATTTTCCAATTTTTGTTTTGAACAATCATGTTTAAGCTTTTTCCAATTTTCCATTATTTTCAATCCTACACCAATTTTGTGTTGGGGAAATTAACGAAAATGTGGATGAATCGAGAGTCGTGTATAACACTTTCAGATTAAATATTTTGGTTGTTCAATCTAAAATTCAATCGGATAAAACTCAAAAGTATCAAAAATAAAAATGAATTGCTGTGAAATTTCCGAACTTCTTTCCGACCATGGACTTGCGGGAATATATGGAGTTGCGGTGAGAAGAGGAGACGCGATCGCGACTTTTACCCAAGACGCGCGAACCTTCGCGTAAAACTCATTAGAAAATCGGCGCTATCCTTAGGCAATTTTCTTTTAAAGAAAATTCGAAAATAAAACAGGATTTTTATCGTAATAAACTCAATGAAGCGTGCACTCCGCACCACCAAACTTCTTGATGATTATTAGGATACCATTGGTCATAGTTTTTCTAATTTCACTAAAATATACTCCCTCCGTTTGGAAAAACACTTCCCATTTGGATTTGGGGCAAAAATAAAGAAGTGTTAAATTATAATTGATTTCCAATTTTGCCCCTGATGTGATGGGTAAAAGTAAAATGTAATGGATAGATTATTAGAGAAAAAGTATGATGTGATAGATAGGGTATAAAAAAGTAAGGGTAAAAGTGGTTTTTAATAGAAAAGGGAAGTGTTTTGTTAGAAGTGAAAAAAATGAAAGAGGAAGTGTTTTTGAGAACGGAGGGAGTATAACATTTTGTTTATTCAATGAGTTTCATACTTTCATCAATAATGTTTTTAAATGTATGAATAATGCATGTGTGTTGTAAAAATTAGCAAATTTGCTGCGTAATAACTTTGGCGCGCCTTGTGGTGCTTCGATTTCTTCATTCTTCAATTGGTTTGTAGTAAAACTGTTTCGAATGATTGATGGAGGATTGACAAATTAGTTTAATAGTAATGGTGTGGCAAAAATTTACCACATCTGCAATTGTTCAAACCCGATACCTCCATAGAATTAGATTTGAAGATGTCCTTATGGCACTAGAAATGGGGGTGATGTCGTAGAGTGTTTTCACATGTGTAAGGGCGTTAAACACCGTCCCCAGGGCTGTTACCGAGGCGTCAAACGTTTAAGGGGCAAAAATGCAGTGGAGCCCATTTCAAACAGCTATAATGCCGCTGAGCAATTTTACAAAAAATTACTCCATATATTGACTCTATATTCACACTTTTTTTAAATAAAACGCACACAAATCTTCTACGAGTAGTTTCTCTCTTCTTTCTTATAAACATACTTCTCATCTTTCATCAATTTTTAAACTTTATCATGAATCCTCCATCCGGTCTTGCACCTCATAAGTACGCAATGTGTGAACGTGCACGAATTTTATGATATCTCCCGAAACGCAAATAAGCTATCTGAATTTTAAAGGCACTAATCAAACAAGGGGTGCTATGTGAGATTGTATTGAGCACAAGTTTTTTGTCGTAACGAGCAACGACCCCTCATACCAAAGCCGAGACCAACTCACTTCCAAATGAGGTCACATAGACAGAAAAGTCTAAAAATCTATCGAAGTGTACGAGGAATGCGCCATGTTCAGGAAAAGCGGAACGAATGATGCCAATATTCCGAGGAAAGCGACCACTCTGTATCTAGATGATGGATGGACACCAAGGCAAAGTCCCTATTGATCTGATTTGTGGAAAGTTTTAAGTCCTTCACCAAAATGGAAAGACTCTGCGATGTAACCCTGAGGCCGGATCTTCAGGGAAAAGATCTTCCTCCGAGATACGTGGAGGACACTATCGGCTCATGAGAACAAAGGTCTCCCGTGAACCTAGATAACTCGGATGCCATTCCACGATGGATCAGAAGAAAGAAGGCTAAATCAATTGCGTTAGAATCTGGGTCTGGCTCTATTTCCTCTCATGATGATATATATCGGCGGGTGAATGGTTGAGCAAATATGGTAGTTCAATACTAGGGAAGAAGAGAGGGAGAAACGCGACGGAGGATAGAGGAGCTAGGTTGAAATAATGTACAAAGACCTTGATACATTAACGAGATTCCAAAAAATGTAATACGAGAAAAAAATAAAATGGAGTAGTGTTTTTTATTTATGTAATTTTTTATATTTTTTTAAATTTAATAAACTTTCTTTTGTTTAATGTATTTTTTATTAATTTAATGAAAGTGAAAAGAGGTTAAAAGTGATGTGGCATTTAATATAACTAGATTCTAACCCGTGCGATGCACGATGAGAAATTTATTTTGTAAAGAAATGATAAGACACATAAAAACAATGCATAACTACAAATACGTCAATTAGTTAACTTTCCAATGTATACTAAAATTTGTTGTAATGTACAGCATATGTACCAATGAATATTGGACGATATCACTTAAGTACATATATAATCATAAATTCTAGAAAACTTCTTTATACACAACATTTATCGTATGATCCAAAGGATTATTTTCTTTGTCGCAACTCAAGATCTTCAATCCTTGTCGATTTGTGACATGTGAAACAACCACATAAAGTAGACCATGAGTAAAGACTGGTTTTTTAAGTAGCACACTAACATGTGAGAGAGATTGTCCTTGCCTTTTGTTAATAGTCATTGCATACGAAGTCATGACGGGAAATTGTTTCCTCTGAAACTTGAATGGAATGCTCTTATCCGAAGGGGTTAATGACAGCCTAGGGATTACAACTTCATGACCATCATTTTTTCCCGTCATCAATTTCCCTTCGATCAAGTGATTTCCCAATCTTGTCACAATTAGTCTAGTTCCACTGCACAAACCCATGGATTGGTCGATATTTCTGAGCAGCATTATTGGTGTACCAACCTTCAAAGTAAGCTCGTGATTTGTAACTCCAGAAGCTCGAATATTATTCAAAAACTCGGGTGAATGCAAATCTGCCAGTAAATCCACATTGGAGACTGACTTGCAAATGCTATCAGAACTTAGGTAAGTTCTAGACTCCTAACTAACATTCATAGTTTTTTATTTATTTATTTTATCCCAAATTTTCAAAATATTATTATATCTAAATGATATACTATATATATGCTATTTAATTATAGAACAAAAAATTGAAAACAATTGAATGAAAAAATTTAAAAGTGAACAAATACTAAAACACAGATATAGTATTAATTTCTACCCATCTTGAAGTAATATTCATTTCTCTGTCATATTTTTAGTTACATATAAATATTTACACAACCAAATTTTAATATATTTATTTACTAATTTCGATTTTTTTACAACTCTTATTTTTTTAAACTAATAAAAATTAAATAAATTTAAAATTTTATATTAATTTTATCCACTTCAAAAATAAAATACGGAGTATAAAAAAACCAACGGGCCCACAAAATCAGCCCCTCCCCCCCTTTCTCAGCCCGGCCCAAAGATTCAGCCCACCTCCTATATGCATCCCTAATCCCTTCTTGCCTTCTCATTTCCGCCGTTCTCTCTCACTCTCTATCTCTCGCCCCTCCCCCTCTCTCTCTCTCTATTCTAACAAAACTTTAACTAATAATTGTGTTTTGTTTTTTTTCATTACAATGGCATTCAGCTCCTTTGATTTTCATTTTTCCTATAATTATTTTTTGAAATGAATTTTTTGATTGTTTTTTGGATTTTTCAATGTTAATATCTTCTCGGCGTAGACGGATTCTCTCAGAAAATATACTATCAAATCTGGAGATCGAGAATTGTTTATTCATAATTGAGTTCGTTGTCGTGTATATAATTTCATTTTCAGTACTTTCCAATATTTTTTCTAGTATTTGTATTACTAGAGTTCGTTGTCGTGTATATTATTTAATACTCCGTATAATATAATATGAGGAGATGAGAACTCGCATTTCTAGTGGTTGCCCTCTTATTTCTCCATCTTTCCCTCCTTCATTTTCGTCACTACATTTCAAAGACAACGTCTGCCGAACCACGTCCAAAAACACTTGTCCATTCCCATAATCACACGGTAATAATAACAAATTAACAATAAAAATAATAATAATTCTTTGCTTTCAACTCTTTCATCATAATCATCATCATATATCAATTAGCTAGCCTGTGTCAGACCAACAATAGTCTCTTGCTTCTCAAAGATATGGCCGCCGGTACTGTCTATTTGAGGACCAACCGTTTTGAGGTCAAGCTAGAAGGCATCACCTTCAAACCCAAAGATTTTGAGTACTTATGCAAACAAGACTTTCTCTTCCCTAAGGGTAAAGTTAGGGTTCACAAACCCATCGTTGGCATTGATGTCATCCAACACCCTCGTGACCCCAACATCGTCTTGGTCCTCTTATGTTTTGGGTTGGGCTGTGTTATCCTCCGGTTTCGCCCCGGGGAAGCGCTGCCCGACCCCATCCTCAAGTTCCTAGCCGACGACAGAATCTGCTTCGTCGGTTTTGGCATTCCTGAGAAGGGAGATTTATTTCCGTTTGAACGGTTAGGGTTTTCAAAGCAGAAATCCGACATCGGCTATCTAGCCTCTAGGTTCTTCAACAACCCAAAGTACAGGCGATGCGACCTCGGGGATCTCGCGCGCAAAGTTCTTGGTATCAAGAGGATGATTGGGTTGGCCGATTCTTCGTCCTTCGCGAGACACGAGCAAATCAAATGTGGGATTTGCCAGTTGTTCATTTCCACCATTATTGCCATTTCGCTTCTTAGCGCGGTTGAGAAGAAGAAGGTGAAGGCCACCTCTTCTCCGAAAAAGGGTTCTTTTCTTGCGAATCTCGCATCTCTTCCCTTGTTCGCCGAAGGATGGCTCAAGTTGAATGATGGGAAGTTTCGTGATGAGACCGATGATGATGGTATGGACAAAGGGGGTGATGAGGACGACGATTCTTGTCGTGGTGGGAAGAACAAAGATTCTTCTTGCGACGCGTTTGTTGGTGACAAAGGTGAGAAGGTGTACTCTTGTCGCGATTATGCGGTCCGAGCAAGAGTGAGCGAGGAGGATTTGGTTAGAGGAGAAGAGAATGCTCCAAAGACAAACGACGACGACGATGATGGTGATGATGATTATAATTATTGTTCCAACAAGGAGTCGTCAAAAAAGGCGCCATTGAAAGGGATCTTTAAATGTTTGTTTCCACTAGACGTCGAGAACCTCAATCCCTATACTTCTCCATCATCTCCCGACTCCAACAACAAGGGCACAATCGTCACGCCGAAAAAGAAGAGTTCCAAAGGGGACGACGATGCGATAAAGTGTCCCTTTTCTTCTACCAATGATTCCAATAACAAAGAGCCTATATGCATTGGGAAAAAGCCTTTGAAAGGGATCTTAAAGTGTCCTTCTTCCAAGTTTGAGAGGTGTTTGTCTTCTCCAAAGGCCATTTCACCCCCAAATGCACAAGAGCTTCTAAGAAGAGCCAATTCCAAGGGCCACAATGTAAGCTTTAAATGTGATGACTAGCTTCATTCTATGGTCCTTAATTAGCTCAAGTCACACAGGTGGTCGGCTCGGGTCGGTTCGGTTTCCCCTGATTTATCTTTCTCCCACCTTTTTTTCATCTGAATTGTTAACCTTTGTGTTGGTCATTAATCTGCAGAACTCAGGTACAGAATTGTATAATAATTACTAGAAGTGTGTGATGACATTAATAATGGCTTTTGGTATCAAGTTCTGCGGGTTATGTTTCTTGAGTCAAATCCTACTAATTTGTTGTTTGTATTTTTTATATTGACTTCATGTAAAGGCTGGACTTGGCAACTACCAATTTATTTAGCCAAATGGGAAAATTAAATGTAAGGTGAGAATCAAGTATAGTTATATTGGAGCATTTTAGAATTGAAGTAAGATCAGAAGACATGTTTTTTTCAAGTATGACCATTATTGATATAAATGAGTGGCAACATTTTAAACTGATTCTTAAAAATAAGATTTTTTATAAGGTTAACAATTTTTTTGTTTAGTCAAGAAGGTGAACAACTAATTTGTAAGGGAGGGAGTTACAAAACAAGTGTTACTAGTTTTTCGTTGAGGAAGTGTTTGGGTTCGGTGCCATCTACGTACCCAAGCAAGCAAGCAAACGATGAGCCATGAGATTCGCACGCACCGTAGCAGACCAGGAAGGATAGTTGGCGTCATACAGTTTTGCCGGTGTAAGGGATTGGAGATTCCGGACAAATAACTTGAGACCAGTAGGAAGCCGATCCATGGGATCGGTTGATGATGGGGCCATGACCGGTGAAGGAAGATGGCGGACGGAGACTGCCTGGTCAGATGAGCAGACAGAAGAAACCCTAATTGGGTACTCTTCTCGGTGTTGTTTTGTTTTTTTTACTGCGTGAGAGTTGAGGGAGGAGAAAAAATTGGATCAGGCTTCGATACCATGTTGAATAATTGAATATGAATTTCACTCAAGGAATAAAGAAGGTTACATAAGGTAGGGTATAAATAGATTTGGAGATCCTAACACAACTAGGATTCCACAATTATGACACCTGACAAATATAAGAGTTCTACCATAACTACAGGTATTGCTATAGATGTCTAACAACAAGTGTTAACTATTTCAAATGAAAAATCCCATTCTATTTAGGAAAGAAAATGTGTGATTCTTATTATTTCAAATAAAAAATCCCATTCTATTTAGGAACTTTTGACGTAGTTTTAAGTATGTAAATTTTATCTTTAATTGTTATACCAAACTTTAATTAAAATAAATTCAAAAATTGAAATTTTGCTTCATTTTGTGTAAATTGTGGAAAATAACATGATGTGTCCTAGATATTCTTAAGGGACTTTTAAATGAACATTTTGTACGCCACACATGACCATTCCAAAAACAATATTAACGGAGTATATAGCAATATATATTCCCTAGTTCCCTCCAAAAATTATTTTCCCCATCGAATTCCATGTTTTATTGAAATCATATTTTTAAATTATTTTATATGAAAAATAGTATGGAACGTAATTAAAAAATAAAATTACATATTTAAGACTTATATTACAAGATATATAAAATTAGAGATGAGAAAACTATAAAATTCAAATGAACAACAAAAATTGGCCAACAAATACAATAAAATTTTATTCTATGAATAATAAATAAGAAGAAAAGTTTTGAGCCACAGAGTACAAACAAAAAGAAATAGTGACGTGGGCGATTATTTGAGGCAAGGATAACATAAGCTTTCATATTTGATGTCAGCTTGACCTCTCGATCACAATTATTTTGAAAAACAGCAATTAAAACAAACTTCTCACGCTAAATAAACTAACGTGTTTAACATAAACTAATTATTCTGTTCGGCCTAAATTTGAATGACGCCTGGCGGCCTTTAAATAAATCAATCCATAAAAAAAATAAGTCCACACTAGAGGTGGATATGGGCCTGTCCAACTTTGTATCTATAATTAGTGGTTCGATGATTAAAAATTAAAATAATAATAATAATAATAATAATTTGAAAATTAATAATAATAATAATAAGCAGTGTGAGAAAATTAAATATTGATATTCCAACCAACCTCTTATCTTAGAGAGTCAAATTTAGTCATTGGACCACAAAGTTTTTGGTATAGTAAAATGGTACATGAACTAAAATATTGTTTTAAATATTATTATACAAAATTTATATGTTATAATGCCTACTAATTGCAAAATGAATGTCAAAAAATATTGTGAAATCTTAACATATAATGCCAAATTACAGACATGAAGTATCAATACTTATACTTAGTTGATACAACATAAAAGTCTAATTTTTGTACTCCGTATAAGTTTCATATTTTAATTTTATTTAGATCGGTTTCTTTTTGTTTTTCGTATCTTGCATTTTTTTGCTTATCTTTTTTAATAAAATTATTTGTGGTTCATTTTTTTTTAAAATTAGCTTAAAAATACGTGAAGCAAACACATGATTTTGTTCTCCATTTAAAATCGGAAACCAAAATAAATAAATAAATAAAAAGAAAGTAATTTTGTTTTCTAATTGATCTGATAATACTACTTATTGAGAAAACAGGCCATGTTCCATAATTCAAACTGAGAGTTAGGTGCAGTGGTGGTGGCCTTTACAAGCCACTCACGCCAAGTCATAGCTTGCTTCCTTCTAATAATTAATTAATCAAGTCTATGTATATATATTTGGTTCCTTTAAATTAAAGCTATATGTATGATGATAATAGTTTGAATAACAACAAGTCACCAAAATCAAGCTAGCTAGGGTTCAAATTCCTGTTAATAATCATATATCTCTCTCTATAGCTCTCACACAAGATTCATACAATTAATTACCAATATAATTAATCATGGTGTTGGTGGTATTTGAAAAGCAATACATAGATTTGTTGTTAGTCCCAAGTGGCCTTCTCTTCATGTTTGCTTATCACATCTTCTTGCTCTATAGATACCTCCACACCCCTCACACCACAGTCATTGGTTTCGAAAACAATGACAAGAGAGCCTGGGTTGAAAAGATCATGCTACAATCCTCCGACACCAACGCCGCCACCGTCACCACCGCGCTTGACGTTCTCTCCTCCAACAACACCGGCGCCACCTTTCTTGCCACCGTTTGTTTGACGCTCAGCTCTCTCATCGGGACGTGGATGGCCAATAATTCCACCATCTTCTGCAGTGACTTGATCTACGGTATAAAATGATGAAACTTTAATTTAAGAGTAATTTACCTAAATAGGACTAAAACATAATGACTTTCCCAAAATAGGACCATATGTTTTTATTTCTGAATGTAGGACCTTTGGTCATTATTCTTTAGTCATTATTCAAGTAATGTTTATCATTGTTGGGCATTATTCCTTCCACGAAGACATTATTAAGTCCTATTTAGAGAATAAAAAAAATTTAAGTCCTAAATTAGGAAAGTCATTATGTTTTAGTCCTATTTAGTATAAATTTCACTTAATTTTTAATTACTCAATAAGACTATAATTTATTATCAAATAGATTCAATTCATGCTTCGTTCAGTGAGACTATTTATTATGAATCAGGTGACACGAGGCCGGCGACGATGGGAGTGAAGTACATAAGCCTGCTGGTGAGCTTTCTGCTGGGGTTTTCATGCTTCGTCCAAGCGTCGAGGAACTTCCTGCATGCAAACTATCTGATAAGCATGCCGGACGCCGACATTCCGACCAGCTACGTCGAGTCGGTGGTCATTCGTGGAGGAGAGTTTTGGTCTCTTGGGCTTAGATCTCTCTATTTCGCCATCGTTTTGCTGTTCTGGTTCTTCGGACCCATTCCCATGTTCGCCACCTCCGTTGCCATGGTCTTCCTACTCCATTATCTTGACCGGAACACCACGCCGTTGCACAATCACCGGCGATCTTCCGGCGGCCATGTCAAGCAACTCTTGTGACCAAAGCAACTCTTCAGCATATCCTGTTTTGTACTGTATTATTATTTCTATCGACCTTTGTTTTCTTTTTTGATAAATAATTGTATTTTCTACTTTGATGGATAATTGATTGCAACGACAATCATATGCCAATCAGCCAATGTTAATTGTCATGTTGAAGAATTTATTAATAATAAGTTGTATTTTACGTGTAAAATTTGAGTGATTTTTATAATGGTCTCGACCATGTTTAAAATGTAGACCATCTCACATTTTTCATAGACTTGTATGTAAATGTTTTCTTTTTTTACAAAAGGTACACTTCTTTTATCTTACAAGTGCACTAAGGTCCATAAAATAAACATTGACCTTAGATCCACGCAAGAATTTGTCATGGTCTTAAGGTTAACAGGTGAAATACGAACCTTTTCACGCATTTTATAGGCTGACAAGTATATCTTTTTTAAAAAAAAGGCTCCATCTTTTATGATATCAATGCAATAAGATCCATAAAATGAACACGAATCTTAGATCATCTTTAATGATAGTTGCTTTACATTATTTTAATAAAGAAATGCTTATATGGCTTATGAGATGGGCACAATTGCTTCAATTTATTAGAGAGGTACACTAAGAATGCGCTTTCGATTTAGTTTATTGGGAACCAAAAAGATATGTTAGGCAGTAATTAAAGATTTCAAAAATGTTTGGGGTACACAAAAAGTGTATCCCATATCTACACTAATATATTCTCCACAAATATTTTTTTGATGCGGATATGAAGAAAGAGAAATGAATAAGAAGTTTGTGGTAAGAAGTTTGGTGGTGTACAAATAGGGTACATTTTTAGTGTACCCGTAACATTATGAGTTGAATGCATTGCATATCAATTCAAAACTAAAACACAATTTGGAATCATTTTTTGTTTAAACAAAGTACTCATCCGAAAGCAGAGCACCGATGAGGTTCCTTAGCGTGCCCAGCATTGCGTTCTGAAATTTTGTCTCAAAAAAAAATTGACTCAACACGATTAAGGGAGCACGAACCAAATCTTGTATTGAGCAAGAGATCTCCACGTCGAATCCATATATAGGTTGGAATCATAATGTAATTGACCCTCATAATGAGAGAATGATCGGAACGTCTAAATAATCTCATCAAGCTGATTATAAACTAAGCACACTCCTCCGTCAAACTCAATTTTTTCATGTAAAACAATCTCTATCATATTGAAAAGGTTATCAACAACGAGTCTAGAGTTCATGGTCTTATTATCCTTAGACATAACTACTTGAGCAACAAACATGATGCAAGCAAAATAGTGCTGGAACCAAATGCAATAAATGATCAAGCTAATTACTACTTTCTCCGTTCTTAAAAAGAGTTTTTATTTTGACCAAGGATAAAAATAAGGAAGTGTTAAATTGTAGTTGACATTCAATTTTACTTTTGATGTGATTGGGTAAAAGTAAGATGTGATTGATAGATTATTAAAAAAAGTATGATTTGATAGGTAGGGTATGAAAAAGTAAGGATAAAAGTAGTTTTTAATAGAAGGGGGAAGTATTTTATTAAAAGTAAAAAGAAATGAAAGAGGAAATATTTTTGAGAACAGAAGAATGGAGTACTTTTACACCCATTTTTCCATACTTTATTTATCACATCATACTTTTTCATTAATAACCAAACTATCACATCTTACTTTTACCCATCATATCAGGGGCAAAATTGGAAAGTCAACCAAAATTACACTTTTCTTATTTTGGCCCAAAGTCAAAATAGGAATGGTTTAATGGAAGGGAGCGAGTACTGATAGAATTTAGGATGAGTATGGACAGCTGGATTGGGCAATAAGACACTTGGGTTGAACCGCATTAAAAGATTGAATCCAATTGATTAGTTAGTTTAACTCAAAAGCTTATATACCGAATTATTTTACCCTTGAACTTCCGATGTGGGATGCACTTTAACACCCTCAAGTGGACAACCAGGCCATTTTGAATCTAACCGGTTGACCACTTGCAAATGAATTCCCATTTCCTTGATTTTTTTTGAGCGCCAACATCTAAAGGACCACGAGCCGCTGGGTATGGATGATTTGCAGTATAGAATGGGCAAAAATAACAACTAAAAAGAATCCCTTGTAAGTAGGGTGTCGAACCTCAGGGAGACGTGAGTTAATTTAATTTAAACAAAAGTTTACAAAAGAAGTTGTAAAATATTTTGGTCTTTTTGGTTTTAAAGATAAAATAAAAAGTGTAAAAGAAGAGAGTTCCAAACAACACAAAGTTTTTTGATGATAAAAAGTTAGGGGTAGAAATTGGTAAATTAATTGTCCAATGTTTTTATAAAAGTTGGATTGTCAATTTATTTTTATATAGAAGGTGTGGAGTTGCAGAAAAGTATTTAGGGACGCTCTCGCAGTTCACCTAAATAATAACTACTCCGACTTTAACACGCTAATGATAAATCCGGAGTAATTATTTAGTAGCAACGGCAACCATAATTGTTTTATTGTATGTTTACCCAATTTAATGGTGTAAAAATACAACTTAATAATTATTTCCACCCGAAAGTCTTCAATCCCGGTTAAAGGTAGAGAAGGCTTACGGTGTATTTAAAAAAATGTTCTATTTTATGATTATTTCAATTTTAGCTCAAATTCATTTTAACAATTATGTTTATGATTGGGCCCTTAATTAAAAATCATAAACATTTCAAATTTATTTATTTATTTTTAAATACAACATCTAAGTAAAAATAAAATCAACAATCCATGTTAAAAATATTCAAAACATTAAGATGGACAATTAATTACACCAACTTCTAACCCCAATGGAATTTAGAAGTTCATAGTTTGAAGCTTAAACAAATAAATATTTATTACAATAATAAAAATCTTACAAAATGGAAGATGTGTTCTTGAGCTCCAAATATGATAAATGNGAAGAAAGTGGTGAGATATTAGTGATGGAGGAGGAGAATTTCGGATTGGAGAGAGAGGAGAGAAATGGGGGGTTCCAACCTACTTGAAGAAGAGAAGGATTGTGTTTTTATAGATGAATTCGTATATACGGAGTATATACAAACAGCCCACTTTAGTCAATACAAGCATAGTAGCGCACATGGAAATGGGGATGCTAGTTGTGCCGCGTGATCCCGTGTTTGATTCCCTCTAGTGTCGGTGTTTTGTCATTTTTTTCTCTCAATCAATGGCCGACTTTCAGTTCAGAACATTAGCCGTGTTCGCCAGTGATATGCTGAATAATCATCTTCGGCGCGATGGTCAAAGCTCCGGTTCCACATGCCGCACGTCCAGAGTCCGAATCCAAGGGCTGTTTTATGCTTTATTTTTGTTTAATTCCTTCTTTCCTTCAAATTTCTTCCATTTATTTTGGTCCCAAACTTCCATGTTTATTTTCCGTTCTTAAAATTGTTCTCAATGCGTCCAAATGGTCTCAAAATACCTGCAAAACATATAAAACCAAGCATAGGACTGCTCTCCAAAATAAAACGGAAAATTGAAATAAAATATAAACATTAAATTCAATTGGGACTCAATACTCCTTCAAAATATGCCTAAAGAGTGTATAAAATATGTGCATATCAATGGACTTCCAGACGAGTAATCGTGTTAAACGGGCCACGGGCCGTTGGGTACATACTTCATACGGACAATTGGGCCGCTAGGAATGAACGTCTAGACAGACACCCTGATAAACAAGGTGGGTCAAAACTTGCTCTGATACCATGATAGAATTTAGAATGAGTATGGACAACTGGATTAGGCAATAAGACACTTGGGTTGAACCACATTAAAAGATTGAATCCAATCGATTAGTTAGTTTAACTCAAGAGCTTATATACCGGATTATTTTACTCTTGAACTTCTGTTAAAGAATATACACAAGTTTCACGTCCAATATTTTCTACAACTTCCGATGTAGGATGCACTTTAAGGAGTACCAAATTGAGTCACCTCCTCTTGAAATCAAGGCAGTAAGCGGTTGGATTCCGGTTGATTTTCCAAAACCTTGATCCCCAATGATTGTTCAAATCCTTGAATATGTCACACAATAAATTTTTTTTGTTAAAGCCTTGGAAGAATTGTTATGGCAGACCAAAATTCTTGATTCAAATCAAAGGGCAGCTTCATCTCACAACTTTTTTTTCTGCGGAACTGCAGCGTCAAGACTGGATTGAACGGAAAACCCCCTCCAGCCTTGAGGACGGCGGTTCGAATTTCTTCTCCTATTCGTACGGTTGCTCTGCTGCCTTTTTTTTTTCTTTCCCGGATCTGTTCAAATCAATGAGACTACTAATGGTACATACTCGTATCAGATAGGAAAAATTTTTGAGCGTTCTCCAAACTCTAGAAATTGAGACGAGAAGGGAATCTGTGAACGGAGAGAGGAAAAGGGAGTTTAGGTTTTGATATTGTTTATTGATTGATTGTTCTAAATCGAGTTACATCTTAGAAAAAAGAAAACCCCCTAAATATGAGTAAAACATATTTCATATCCTTAAAATAGGAGTATAAACATAAACTCGTCTAAATAGGAGTAATTAATTAAGTAGTAAAGAAAACCCCATCAATAGTATTAAATCTTTAATTAATCTCATCTTTCTCTGCTCCATCTCCTCATGGCCGTCCCACCATGCATCTCTCTCTTCTCTCTCTCTTCTTTTTGGCCACCGCGCACCCTCATCATTTTGAAGTGTTGCCTCCGTCAAACCACCCCAAGTGAAGTACATCACCGCCGCCCCACTCCTTGCAGTGCCGCCGCACTAGCTTCCCCCTTTGCAGATCTGTTACGAAGCATCCCATGTAGATCCGCTGCGGAGTGCTGCCTCTATCTCTTTCCTTTGCAGATATATCGCACCGCCTATATCCATCAGAGCTAAGATTGCCGCCAGTCACGATGACTATGATTTTTTTTAATTAGCTTCCAAATGCTCTATAATTGAGACTGCATCGTAGAAGTAAGAAATACTTCCAACTTATTGCATTCATCTTTTTTTTCTCCGAAAAATTGCATCTTCATTAGGCATTGATTTTGGTTTGATTTTTTCTTTTCATTTTTGTATTTGATTATTTTTCTTTTAATTTTTTATTTAATTGTTTTTTATTAGTTGTGTTTAAATGTTTCTCCCAATTTCAGCAAAATTTGGTGATAGTGATAAGAAAATTGACATTGTATGTTGGCAATCTTGACATGTTAATTTCTTTTTGACATTTTATATTGACATGTTTGGCATTACGCAATGACATGTTTGGCATTATGCAATGACATGTTTGTTAGTATGCATTATCGTCTGTAACATTGTGACTTTGGTTGGCATTGTATTGAAAGCTTTTTCATTTAGCAGTGACACCATGTCACTATGGTAGCGACAATGACAATTCTGATCCCAACGTTGGTAGTAAATTACGACATTGATAGCAGCAAATTAAATGGGGGCGATGGAGGCGACACCCGCAAGAAATGGGGATGAGAGCGGCAGATCGTGGTGGTGATGAAGACGAAATCGCCAATCGTGGCGGTGTTAGTGGCAGCAATAATATAGACGGTGACCGCATTTAATAGCGACGACACCAAGAGATTATGGCGATGGAGTGGCGGCGACGACAGTAGCGGCAATGGGGGAAGGGGTGGCGACAGTGACATGTGTGGCAGGGGCTATAGCTCTTTTAGGATTTTTTTTAATTTATAAAATGTATTTAATTTCATATTTGTAATATGAATATAACTTCTATTTTGGTACATGGTCAATGTTTTACTTGTATTTTACTCCTTAATTTTAAGCCATTAGATTAATTAAAAGTTAATTACTCCTATTTTGGGGAGTTTATGTTTCAACTCTTATTTTGAGGATATGTTATATGTTTTACTACTAATTTGGTCCTTCTCCCCTTAGAAAATAGATGAAAACCTAGCCTATATATCTAATTTCTAAGCTTGGAAGGAATACATAACAATATTAATAATACGGTAAGTCTAAAATGACATCAGTGTTATTGGTGTCATTTGCTTACACCAGTTCGTTGGGGTTACATACGGTGCTCCGTTTGTAAAAATGACGGTTCCTACCCCCTAACCCCCCCCCCCTAAACCCCCCACCCCAGCCCCACCCTTGCCCCCCCACCCCAGTCCCTCCTCCCGCCCCCTCCCTACCCTGGCAGTATAGGGAGGGGGGCGGGAGGGGGGGCTGGGGTGGGGGGCAAGGGTGGGGCTGTGGTGGGGGGTTTAGGGGGAGGGTTAGGGGGGTAAGAACCATCATTTTTACAAACGGAGCATCGTAGGTACTCCAAATGAATTGGTGTAAGTAATTGGTGTCATTTTAGACGCTCCTTTAATAATATTACCAATAAAAATCATATTCTACTATCCATAACAATGATTCCCTTTGTTGATACTTATTCACTAAATTCTAATACGCAATCTTATACTCCGTGTATAATATGGTCAAAACGAAAAAACTAATTTGAAAATAAATACATAAGATCTATTTTTTTATTATTTATAAGCAATTTATAAATTCAAAAAAATACGTAATGTTTTTAATTAGCGTTAGCATTTTGGATAAAATATTGACAATGTAGATTACTTCAAAAAAATCGTAAAGACTACCGTCAGATAATCTTTTCAAAACGCTAACGTTAACATCTCACGCTAATCCGAAATGTACCTTATAAGTTAAAGACACCTTATATACTCCCTCCGTCCCGTGAAACATGGGACTTTTGTTTTTTAGGAGTGATTTAAGGGTAGTGTATTTTGGTATTGAATTTCCAAAAATGTCTTTTGATGTGATGGATAAAAGTATGATTTGATGGATAGATTATTAGTAAAAAGGTATGATGTGATAGGTATGGTATGAAAAAGTAAAGGGTAAAGGTGACTTTTTAATAGAAATGAGAAATGTTTTGTGGGACGGATGAAAAAAGAAAGAAGAAAAGTTTTATGGAACGGAGGAAGTATATTTTTGAACGGCACATAAAAACACCGACTATGCATCAATGCTCGTTCCACTTGACGCTTGATCCAATCTTCAAAACACTTATTTTGAATCGAAATGGATCAGTTGGGGACAAATGGGCCTCGTTGGGCGCATTCTATCCGGAGAGTGTTTTTTGGCCGCATCTGGAATTTGGGCCATCAATCACAACTTAAAATTAATTTTTATTCTCAAACATTTACTATGGGCATGTTACAGAGTAGAGCAATACTAGGGGTACACCAAAGGTGTACCTCAAATGTACACCACCCTCTTTTCTTCCACACATTTTTATTTGATTTTTATTTACTTATTTTTTTTAATTTTTTTGTCTTTTTAGTGGACAAGGAAGGGGTGTGGGACATTTGGGGTGCACCTTTAGTGTACCCCATATATATATATATATATATATATATATGTATATATATATATATATATATTTATTTATTTATTTATTTATTTATATTTATATTTATTTATTTATTTATAATGGGAGAAAATATTTGTGTATATGGAATTGTCTTGTGAATACAAAAATCTAGCCCTATTTAAATAGGAAGAGGCTAAAGCAAATACATACACTAATATTCTTACTAAAAAAACTCCCTCCGTCCCATTTTATATTGTCCGTTTTGACTTTGGAACATATTTGAGGAAGAGAAAAATTGTGTTGACTTTTCAAAAATACCTTACTTTTTTACGGGAGTGGCGATGAATGGGGAGATAAGGTGGAGAGGAGTGACCTATTTTAGGGGTAGTTTAAGTAATTAAAACAAGCAAATTATTTTGGGACGACCAAAAAAGGAAAACAGACAATTTAAAATAGGACGAAGGGAGTAAGAATTAAGCAAACTAGGAAAGATACTAAACCGAATTCCAAAGGAAAAGATAAATCCTTTTGTTTTAGTTGAAATTCATATACCTACTAAAATAAGAATTAGACAAATTAGAAAAGATCCTAAACGGAATCCTTTTGAAATTTGGTTTCCTTCTAATATCCTCACCCAACAACCTTAGATGATCCCGAGTGAGAATTTTCAAGTTTGAGGTCTCAGTTCAATTAATAATTGCAATGTAAAAGTTTTATTTAGGTTTTATTTAATCCACCAAATACGAAATAGACTCTAAAAAAAATTAAACCAAAATTGTACCGTGATTTATCCTCTTCAGTCGGACCACAAGTTGTCTAAAAAGAGTGGGTGCCTCAGCCTTTTTAAATTGTAGCCGTGACATAAAGCCTTGCGTCAGGGCAGTTGACGTTACCGTCTCTTTCCGGCCCAAAATGAAAATATATAAACCTCAGTCCATCCCACATATATCCCTCTCCATTTGCCTCTCCCTTCTTCCTTATTCTCAACCATGCAGTACCCTTTTGTACCCCCTCATTTCCCCGCCGCCGCCGCCTCGAGTGGCGGCGGCAGCGACAGCAACTTCTCCCTCACATTCGCGCCCGCCGCCAGGCTGGGCAGCCTGGTTTCGGAGAACGCGATAATTGTGTTCGGCCGGCGAGGCTGCTGCATGAGCCACGTGGTGCAGCGCTTGCTCTTCGGCCTCGGCGTCAACCCCACCATTTACGACCTCGACGAGGAGGACGAGCCCACCGTCGCTTACGAACTCTCCAGGATAATCAGCTGCGCAGCATCCGGCGGCAGTAACCCTGCCGCCGTCCAGCTGCCGCCGTTCCCGGCGATATTCATCGGCGGGAAGCTATTTGGCGGCGTCGACGAGGTTATTGCGGCTCATATTTCCGGCGATTTGGTGCCACTTCTTAGAAGAGCGGGTGCCCTCTGGCTTTGAATCACTAATTACTCATATTAAATTTTATTTCCCCTTTGAGGTTTCTTGTTTATTTTAATCAAATATGCCCTCTGTTTTATAAAATAGTTTCTATCTTTATTTCTTATGCATCCTAGTTAAATTGTCCAAAGATACACCTTATTAATTCTATATTACACTTAAAAATTATTATAAGAGTATTTTATACATTTTAGATGAAGCAAAAATATTTTGCAGGATGTGTAAAACATGAAGGCAAAACTATTTAGAAAAAAAACAGAGGGAGTAAAATACTCCCTCCGTCCCAAAAAGAATGTTACATTTCATTTTTTGCGCATTCCTTAAAACACTTTTATATCGTCCCAAATGTCAAAAAAACTTTCAAAACAATTTCATCTTATAATAAAGAGTAAATATGGTAAATTTTAGAATTTTTAGATGAGAGTAGTAGTGCTTTTTGTGATGCGCAAAAAAATGAAATGTAACATTCTTTTTGGGACGGAGGGAGTATGTTTTTTTGAAAGCAAAGATGAATATAATTTCAAGCATAATAACATCGTTGTTCAAGAAAGAAAATGTAACAAAATTTTGGGCGGATCATGTTTTTAAAAGGCACAAAATTAATTTTTCTCTCTTTAGTAATTGTAATTTGTTGGTTAATTATGTAGCAATGAGATTTTCACTTTTTCTCTTTATACGTAGTATTTATTTATTGAAATATTTGCACTAACTAGCACTAAAACTTAAGTCATTTTCATAAATAGCACTTAAATTGTTTTATTTCTTAAATAGCACTTAATAATGTCCATAATGTCCAGTGATGACAAATATTTATTTGATTAATGACTAATGCATAATGATTAAAAGTGCTACATTAAGAAGAAAAACAGTGCTATTTAGGAAAAGTCATTATGTTTTATTAGGATTCTTGATTTGATTCATGAATATCTGTATATCACCGTTCACCTCGAATGTGACTCACTAACTAATGTGTATTAAAGAATATGCATGTTCCATAAAAAAAAGGAAGAAGCATGTTTTGAATAATTAAATATAAATAAATAAATAAATAAACAACATCAGATGTTATTCAAAAATGAACATTTAGGCCAATGTTTAGAAAATATCGTACACTAAGGAATTTATATACATATGGAAATATTTTCAATACAATTATTACAATATAAAAGTTATACTGTATATTTAATTAGGTTAACTATTTTAGTAAATTATTGACCAAATTTCCATACGCAAAAAGCAAAGCAATACCATATTCTGAGTTCGAAAAGTTAATTTCTAATTTTTTCTAGTTTCTTACCCGTTCTTCCTGTTCCTTCCAATTCCTTTCAGTTTTTTCCAATGACTTAAAAAATGTATTTGTATATGATAAATATACAATAACATTATACATCCAAATTTATAATATATTACCTCAAACACAAACAATGATGCACCCTTTTTTATCTAAAATTGAAACTTTTCTTACATATTTATTTGAGTGATCATTTAATTGAGACTTTTTTAACACTTAAATTCTTTCACCAATTTCTAACTCTTTTTTATTCTTTCCAACTTCTTCCAATTTCTTCCAATATCTAACTCTAAAATTTCAACCCAAAAGAAGAGTCTTAATTACGTACTCCTCCTTTAGAGGAAGTAATTGGTCACAAAATACTAGTGGGAAACATTTCTCAATAAAGAAAAAACATGTTTTATGCATGACCAATAATTTCTAAATTGATCCAAATAGAATTTAAATATGTACACAGTAGTCTTTGATTTTTTCCAATGTAAGACATCATAATCATATCATTTTTTATTTTCTTAAGTAATACATTTAATTAATTAAATACGTCATCTATTCGTTTTTAATTGTTTAATTAATTCATTTTACGTGCTAACGCTGTGTTTGGTTCAAGAAATTTGGAAGGAAAAGAAAAAAATAGTTTTCTCTCGATCATTTTCCTCATAAAAATGGAAAGAATTTGATTCTATCTACTCTTAGTACGTTTTGCCTTTTTTTCGTTCCACTTTTTTTTTCTTTTTGTCTCTGACGAAACAAGAAAAATATTTTCCTCTTCATTTTCTTTTCTTTTCTTTCTCAAATTACTCGAACCAAACATTTCGTCAATAAAATTTGAGATAGAGTGAATAGATAAACTGTGATATGGTATATGCTTTAAAATTCAATTATTAATAAGGCCCGCAGGAAGGGACGAAGCAACGACCGATAAAATATTGAGTTAAAAAAAATACAAAAAAAAAGAGCAAACAAATCACAACTACAAATATTTGGAAGGACTCTGGTTTTGGTGACGGAGGGGATGGGGAGACAGTGCGTGATGATGCGTGGACTTTAGGTACCAGACTTCTTTTCTTTTTTTTAATCAGCAAAACAAAAATTTGAAGGGCGATTATAAAATATAAATAAGGAGTAATTTTGTTGGACGGCATATTATCAGCATTATTATTATTATTATTATTATTATTATTATTATTATTATTATTATTATTATTATTATTATTATTATCATATGGCATCTTCTTGTTTTGATAGGAATATAGTTTTAGCCGTTTTAGAAGTTTACTTGTTTAATGTTCGCTCTTTGTTTATAAAAGGGTTAAATCTTTATAATCTCCAAACTATTGAATCTACTGAATATTATTTTCTACATGATATGGAAGCAAATTTTTCAAATTCAACTATTAAAAAATAAGTTTGCATCGGTTGTAAAATATTGTTATGAACAGATTGCTCATTGCAATATAGTCAATAATACTTAATAAGGAGTAAAAAAATTAAAATTGATTCGAAAAAAGATGGAACGTCTAATCCCGAGCGCCCCAACACACTCGCCCGACATAATTGTGAGGGGCATAAATCATCGTATAATCTCAATTTAAGTCTTAGAGAAGCTGCCTCGTACCCCGTGCACACAAGGAGTTATACAAGTAATAGAATTCTCACGTACACTACCGCTGTCGGGATTCGATCCTAGGATCAATGAGTTTGACATCCTCTTCTTGGACTAGTTGAGCTACCCATACAGGCCTAAAATTGATTCTAGAAGAGCGCCCAACTTGGGATTATTGATAGCAAATTTTCCAAAAAAAAACTCATCTTCTAGAACCATATGAAAAAAAGAGTACATTTGAGTTTTTGATTTGATCCTTTTCTTTTTTAGTGTAAGTTTTGATTTGAATTTGATTGCTTGATCTTTTTTCAGTTTAAGTTTTTATTTGAATTTGATTGCTTCATGTCATTGTTCCATTTCGAATAATAATAGTACATGAAAGAATTTAGATTGGGAAATGGTTACTGGTTGGATAATGCGACACTTGGACTGAACCACATTAAAGATCGAGTGCAATCGATTACTTAGCTCAACTCCAGAGTTTAAATACCAATTTATTTTCTCTTTAAGTTTTGGTGTGGAATTCTCTTCAAGTAGACAATCGGGTCATTTTGAATCTAACCGGTTTACCACTTGCAAATGCCTCGCCCTTTCAATGAAATGAAAGGATCGAAAGTGCCAACATCTAAAGGACCACGAGTCGCTGGGTCACAGGTAGTTTTCCATACGGACAACTGGCCTAAAGAAAAATTGACCACTAGAAATGAACTTCTAGATTGTCACCTTAACATATGAGTAAGCTAAAATATAGGCTCTGATACCATAAAGAAATTTAGGATTGGGAAAAGATTACTGAATTAGGTAATAAAATTCTTAGGTTGAACCACATTAAAAGAATAAATCTAATCAATTACTTAGTTTAACCCAAGAACTTATATAACAATTTATTCTATTTTTAAGTTTCGATGTGGGATACTCTTTAACAATACACATTATGTTTTACTACCTCGTTTCCAAATTATTGACTTATTTAATACTCCGTATTTTAGACTTCTGATTAGTATTGTTTATGTCTGCATTTGTATTGATAATAATTTAATAATTTAATAAAATGATTTTTGAAAATAACTTTAGTCAAACAGCGTAACGCGCAACAGAAAGTTTCTTTGGACAGAGAGAGTATAAAAAGAGAGAATGATGAAATGGCGTGATAGCCATTAGTGCCCGAGGGGCCACATCCCATTACACATGGCCTAAGTTTCCCATTTTTTTTAAAAAAAATGGATACTCAGAGTTCGTTTGGTATACGAAATTGACAGAATTGAATTGATATTTTATAAAATTGAATTGGATAAAATTGATTTCTCTCATTCCAATTCATTTGTTGCACTATCAGTTCCAAATTCACATATTTTTGTGCTACCAACCAACAAAATTGAAATCGAAGTTCCCAATTCTAATTCTAATTTCATAGCTTGAAATCTGTGTACCAAACGAAGTCTCAATCAATGAAATATAAATAGAATTTTTATTTCAGATTGATAATTAGAGATTAAAATGTGTTCAAAATGCAGATTTAATTTCTTATCGACCTATCTCTATGGTACACATATCCATGATCATATTTTATCCTCATGGTCAAAAGCCAAATTTGAATACTAGCTTTTATCATAAGGGTCATGCTAGGGCATAGTTTTCAGAATCGGACCGGTGATCGAACCGGTCAAGGCACTGATTCACTGGTCGAACTAGTGGTTTGAATGGTTGAACCAGTGGTTCACGCATATTTAAAATTTTTGAATTTTATATATATATATATATATATATATATATATATATATATATATAGTTTGGTTCCGGTGAGAAAGGGATCTAATAAAAGAAATAAGAATCAATATTAACCCTCCGATCTAATCAGATCTTAATCTGATCGCCAGGGCATAGGGGTCTTTTTACGGTCAAGTGATAAACGCTAATCATCGTGAAACATCCTCATCCCTGATTTCTCGCTCACGATCGGATTCTCTTTCCCCATTTCCTTCATATCGGTTGCACAAATATGAATTCCCTTATTTATCTACTTCTTACTTTTACAAACCTCTCAATCGTCTGACTTTGGTATTCAACCTGCTTGATCGATTTTTTATCATGGTTCCAGGTTTGTTTTATTTTTTTGTTTTTGTTTTCTTATGAATTATGTAAACGTCGTCTGGAAATTTTGCACCCATGCTCGAGTTCGTTGGATTCATGTAAACATTTGTTTTGAGTTCATGAATGCTTCTATAATCGCGGTGATATTACATGTGAACATTTGTATTGTTCAAAATTTTGCTTTTTGCTGGTCTACTTTTCATTTATTCCTCTTCAATCCTCACTGCTTCATGAAAGTGTTCTTCACGATTTTGTACACCCTAAGCTTTATATTTTATTTCTAGTACGCATTCTATGCAATCTGTATTGCACCTTCATGTATGCTTACTGCATCAAATAGGATCCACTGCTTTGGTTTCATGATTGCTTCTGCTATCCTTTTCCAACTATTTGTAAGTTTTTTTGGAGTACTGTTCCGTGTCCTATATTGCATTATCATGTTGTTCGTG